AAATATTCAATTCTCAACAAGCTGTGGAAAGTGCCTTTCACGATTTCATCACCACTTGCTATCCAGGCTTCTTTGTTGCTGGTATAAGCAAGCTGCCATTAAGATGGCAAAACTGTGTCGATAGTTTAGGCACATATTTTGATTAATTGTACTCCTTCTTATTTGAGATATAATAAACTCAACTTTTGATTCAAAATTGGACATTTCACATTTAATGACCAATAATGAGCACAGATTATGTTCACTTATTAATATCACTTCTTTGTATTTCATCATGTTTTAATACCTACTGAAAGTATAGTAATTTGGCACATTTACTCTTTTCTTCTAAAATGACTGTTATTTCTGGAAGAGGCCTAGATGGAATTTTAATTATAAATTGGCTTTCTTATTCCCTCCCAAATAAGGACACCACAGAAAGTTTGTGCAATTTAATTCTATAAACATGTAACATTGTGCTAAGTGCTTGAAAACTCAAGTATAAATAAGAATGATCTTTCTTTCAAAATGTTCACAGTGAGCTGCAGTGATGGACAAGAAGATATGTAAGTAACAGATAATGTAATATTATACTTGCAATATTGGTTATATGAACAATAGGTTACAGGAAAACAGAAAGGAGTGATTCTGATTTGACTTTCCTGGAGAGAAAGAAATAGGGTCATAGATGGCTTCATAAAGTAATTGGTATTTATTAATAAGATAGATCTTAAAATAAAATAATGATCGATCAAAATATTCACTCAGCAACCCAGCTACCATGCTGTAGCTCCTACATGGCAGACATTGTGTTAGGCACTGATACACAGTGTGTGATCTAGGCCCTCAAGAAGCTTATAATCCAGGCATGTTTTGCCAAGCCAAGAAAGCACAGAGTTGCTCACCTGCCTACCTCACTCTTTCTATCCTTGTTTCTTTCCATCTCATTTTACTAAACTAGATTCATTCACAAAAAGGGACTTTAAGTTCAAAGGTTGTTTCTTTCCTTTTACACTGTTTTCATTTCTTATGTACCGAAAAAAGTAATGGCTTGATAAGTCAAGTGACTACTAATTCTTGATGTTACCACTGAGCTGTTTTCTTACAATGTTGATTTATTCATTCATTCATTCACTTACTCAACCAACATTTATTAAGCCCTTACTGTGTATCAGTACATGTCCAGAGAATTGGAATACACAAATGAATAAGAAAGTGAGCTTACTGTCTAGTAGAGGCAACAGATATGTAAAAATTCAAATGCTGTGTGATACTAGTTGCAACTGAGGTTCAAAAAGAGAAAGAAATTAATTCTAGTGTTGAGGTCAGGGAATGGCTCAAACAGAAAGTGATGCTTGAGAAGTGGAGGCCATTCCAGATGTAGGGCATGGCATGTGAGAATGCATGCAGACCCAAGTTGATCAATAATTTTGGCTTCTGCTGTTTTTCTTTCAAGACTCTTGCTTAGGTGTTCCGCTCTCATCCCTAGCACAAAACAGTGAAGACATTTCCTTCCATGCTTTTCCAATTGCAAAATTTGCTGTTCAAATAAATATTGGAGTGTCCAATTTCTTTCACATCTCTCAAACAAGTAATCTCAACATAATTCTTCTTTTCCAAACCTAAAAAATGACAAATACTAATATCTTATTTTCTAATATCACTAAAGTATATACTTTGACTCCAACTCTATGGAAGAATTTCTGGATAAAGTTATATTTGCAGTTATATTTTCATTTAGGTATTCTTCACAATCCCTTATTTAAAATTCCTGGAACCAGATGTATTGATTCAGAAGTGTTTTTTGGATCTTAGAAAAGTCAAATGGTACATATATCTTATTTTACCAAACACCCCCACCTCTGGGCCCAGCAAGGTATGGGGTAGTAACCTGGAATCAAACATATTAGTTTCTCTGTAGTAAACATTTAAATATTCTCTTAGAGGAATAAATAAAGATCATAAATAGCCTCACATCAGTTCAGGCCAGGTTTCCTGCCAAATGAGTTATGTGAAATGATTTGGTTTCAGCACTTTTTGGGTTTCAGAATTGTTAATGAGGGACTGTGGAACTGTATTGTGATAATTTTCATCGTACAGTTTTAGGAACAGGTTTACAGAGATTAAGTAACTTGCCCGAGTTGCCTGGCTAGTAAGTAATGAAGCATCATATAAACCTAGCAGTCTTACTCTCAACTCTGCTAGTGCTATACCACTTATACTGCTATCCTGTATTCAGGTTCCTCACTGGGTATTTTCAACCCTGGCCATTCAGAACCCAGCACGATGCTTCTCTGGCTTCCTCTCTTGCCTCTTTCTGATTCATTTCTCTTCTAGCTCACAATTATTTATTGCTAGCTTTCTCCCTCAAGGGAAGCCTGTGTTCTGCTCATTGCTAAACTTTTCAATCTCTGACTTTTCTTTTGCTATCTCTTTTTCATTCCTTTTGGCAATGCAGATCTTTGGATCTGTCCCTCAGAATTGTGATGTGAAAAAGCAGATTCCCGGAGCACCTCTGACCCACTGAATCAGGATCGATGGGATGCGACCTGGGAACCTACATTTCTCACAGGCATGCTGTGTGGTTTTTAAACACCAATAGTTTGAGATCAACAGCTCTGTGGTGTGACAAAGCTGATGATTGCTCTTCCCAGGGATTTGCTCTCCTCTTGCAGGCAGATTAAAATGACTTGAACCATAAGACTACAGACACCCAACTTCCTGTCCTTTGAAAATCACCTAAAGAAACATTGCTTAGAGAGTTAATCAATTAATAAGTGAGGTAAGCAGAAAGAGAATATATTAACTATTTTAGTTAATTGAGAGATAACATGGCTGACTTGGCCAAATCCTTGTTTCCATAGCCAAAGTTTCATTTTTTCTCCATCATCCAACACTGCACTGTAATTAGTTTCTTCTAAACATCTACTTTAATTTATTCTAGCCTGCCCTACTAGAGAAAGATAAAGTAGAGCACTAATTGTACTTTCCAAACAAATTTTTTCTGCCTAAAGAAACCAGGTACTTTTGGAGTGTCTTTCTAAAATAGGTCTACATCTCCCATTTTCTCTATTGTATGAAAACATTGTAAGGAGCAGCAGACTATTCTTTAGCTAACAAAAGCACAATATGAGTTGTTTTCAAAGACACACACATACACACACACACACACACACACCAGCAACACTAAGAAGGAACAATTAGGAAGCCGCCTGTACCCTGGATCCAGGGCACTTTGATTCACTACTAAAGATATTAATCTAAGGGGATATTCACCTATTGTTTTAGTCATGTCAGCCTTCACTGGAGAATCCAGGAGCACAAATCTATTACCAGACCATCTGCTTGTTCCTCAACTTAGTGTTGAGAAATAAATCACTAATATAATCACATAGGCAAAATCTTTTTTTCTTTTTTAAAAACAAGTGATAATGCTGAAATTACACTTATGTTTTTGCTAAAGGCTGGGCCTAACAAAATAAAGTCTGAATATAGATTCAAACTATTAGCAAATCAATTTTCACTTATGTCATTGACACAAGTGTCCCCATCAGTATTCGTCTTCTATTTGAATATAAGTTTTGAAATGAGTGTGAAAGTCCTATGTGGTTACTTACATTTCAGCTTACATGGCAGCCACCCAAATTTGAGACAATGGTTTTGTAGATGGTCATAAACTATCATGTCAGAAACAATTTCCTTGAGATAGTTACATTGAATGAGTGTAAAGTCATTTGTAAATTTTTTTTATTTATAAACAACTTTAGGATATTGATGGTCATTGATAAAGGCAAGAACACTCACTGTCTGAATACTGCAGACTCAGTTTATGATAATATGATTAGTTATACCAATAATGCCGCTTAGGCACTGTATTGCTAATTACAATATTATAAATATTAATGTCACAGCCTTTCTGTTTGATTGCCACTCACGGAGTCATTCATCATGATATTTTCCTGGAACCCACATTGTAAGATTTTATTTCTTTCCTCCTTTTCATTTTCATTACTGGACTTGCAATCATATACATTATTCTTAAAGAAGGCTTCATTTTTGGCTGCTAGGACAGGGACAGTGATATTTTCTACTAAAACTAGCCAAATACAAATCAGTTATATGATGTTTCTCTTATTATTTCTGAGTCCCTAACCCAGTCATCCAAGGCAGAATACCCAGGGTTTTTGTTTTCCATTCTTTTTCATGTGTCCTATTTCAAGTTAAGATTCATTTGAATTATTAAATGCTTCCCTAAAGAATCTTTTTATACTGCCTCTCTCTTTTTTTTTTAAAGTTAATTATTGATGTAGTGACAAGCTGAAAAGACTAAGAATTATAATTTTTTCCTCCCCTCATTCAGGGCTCAAGAAATGTCTTCTGACAATGGTTGTCTATTTAGAATAATACAAAGGAAAAATACAAAGGCGAAATGCTGAATGTTGTTTTAGAAAAGAGTTGCTAAAATCACTGTATTATACAAACTGTAAATGTAGTGTATATTTCTCGAAAAATAGCAGTTAGTGAGAAAGTTGGGACATAACCTTTTGAGCCCAGGTTTAACCACACAGCAGAAGCGGTTACAAAAGATACTGATTAGATTTTAATTTTAAAAACTTCATCATATTATTCAGGACTCTAGTGATTTGATTGTCTTGAAAATAGAACGGTAATGCTATAATTTCCAGAGCTTGTTAAAGAATAAAGAAATCTCCAGCCTCCCACTGGAAAGAATGCCAGTCATCACCACAGTAAGCAAGAATTTGGAGGCATTTTACACTGCAAACTTCAATCTTTTTCTTTCATGTGACCTTGTGTTACATTGGTTTCATAAAAAGGTAACTCACAGGCCCATCATATAGCTGTAATCAAGCCTCTTTCAGAATGATTCTACTGCAGAAATCACATCCAACAGGCACTGTGCTTCCTCTGTCAGTGAGAATGTGGGGAGGCAAACAAGATCTGAAATAGAAACTGACCGAGGCGGAGTTCTCAAGGATAACACAGTGGAGGTGGGCACGTACCTTTCCCACGAGTTCAGGAATACGTGGAACTGGTTTCCCTTTCTGGTGACTCACAGTAGCTGGACTCTGCCCGTCCCAATCCTGGAGTTCTTCAATGCTTTTCAGATAAAGCAGGGCTTTGAGGCCAGTGCAGTAGTCTTCAATCACAGTGAAATCCTGATTCTGAATAGCACTGCATACCTAGGAAAGATGAAGCAACCAACCAAATGTCAACTAAGAGCTACTTCTCCAAATGCATTCACTCTTCTTTGATTCAACAAATATTTGTTTTACATGCCAGGCACTGTTCAAGGCATGGACAGATCAATTTCTGCCTGGGGATGTGGGTAGTGGGGCGGGGGGACTGCAAAGGGACATGGAAACTTTCTGGAACAATGAAGATTATCACAAACTTGTTGATTTCACAGGTAAACACATATTTCAAAAATTACTAAGTTGTACATTGTAAATATGTACAGTTGCTCATATGTCAGATATACCTCAGTATAGCTGTTAAAAATGAAAACAAATAGGTTGAATTTTCAGAATTTTCAGAGTGCCAAATTTGGCACAATGTAAGATAAGACATTTTAACTCTCTCCTTTTCCCTCTACCGGGTGTGCTGCCGGCAGGTAGTGCTCACGTCTGGAGGTGGTGAAACCGAGGCTGGAGTGCCCTCATTCATTGAATTCAACCGCCATTTGCCTCTATCTTTCTCCTCATCTGCTATTGTTCTCTTTGTTGTTCACTCTGCTCCAGTCCCCCAGCTCTTTCTTCTTTTCTTCAAATTTGCCACATTCTTTCTTGAGGCCTTTTCACAAGACCTTCTCGCTGCCTAGAAGCCCTTCCCCCCTACACGTCCACCTACCAACCACTCCTCACTTTCACAGTGTCTGTCCCTTCTTCAGGGCAGCCTCCAGAAGCCCAAAAGATGTTACTAGGTTTCGGCCTTCTTTTACTCGAACATCTTTGACTTCTAATTATTGCATGATTACATGATCCCCAACTCAGTCCCCAATTAGCCTAAAACTTCAGGAGGGAAGAACCATATTTATCTTGGTTACTATATTATATCCCCAGTGACCAGCACAGGGTTTTGTCATTTATTCTGCTCTCAACAAATGCATGTTGAAAGAATGATAATTAAGAAGAGATTTTTGAATTTGGGTGACCATATGTCAGGAAAGAGACATAAAAAAATTCTGAAATTAAGGAATGTTGAATCAGAGAAATTAGGATCATTCCAATAAAAATATACTTAGGATTCTGTGACTATGGTTAGGATTTGAGTGGGAGCTTGAAGAATGTGGATTCAGATAACCACATCTAGGTTGACTATTTGACATCTAGGTTGATATACAAAGATATCTCTCCAATTCTGACACCACACGTAGACCACAGGGACTCATGAACAACTGCTAGTAAAACTTTTCCACCCAGATGGCTCAACATCACTTCAAATTCAAAATTTACAACATGGAATTCAACATCCCTTCTAATTTATATTTCAAATTCATCCAATGAAACAACCATCCAAACAAAACTAAGAAAAGTAAAACTCATTTTTCAATCTCATTTTCTCAGATATTAAATAACTAGTATATATCAGAGTATCTGGTGATGGCAGCCAATAAAGAAAAATCATGTAATACATGAATGAAAATGAAGGAAATTAAAATAAAAGAATAAATAAGATTCTATTTTAAAGACTCTTAAAGCCTTCTGGGTCTTTGATTAAATAAATTTTATTATAATCGTTGTGCCTAGCATACTATCTGATACCTAGTTGTTGCTAGGTTGGTTGAGAGAATTTATTGGAAACAAAGAGGTTCCAGAATGAGGAATGGGCTAGAGAAAGAGACTGGGCAGAAAAAATTTACCTCTAGGAGTTCTCAACAAGAAGTCCTAGTGATTCCATGATGTGTATATAAAAGAATGACAAGTGTGAAATTCTGGGAATGTTGGCACTTTAAAGGAAGGCTAAGGAAGAAGATCATGAAGGACACTAAGCGGAACAGGTTCAAGAGAGTTAAGTCAGGCGCTGCAGAAAGATCAGTGACATCAGAGCTGAAAAGTGACCACTGGACTTAGCAATCAGAAAGATACTAGCTTACGTTTACATTTAAAGGGAGAAGCTCAGCAACAGAAGCCAGTTTTAGGTTTTTGTTTGCTTGTTTGTTTTTTGTTTTTGTGGTGGGTTGAGGAATGTATGAGGGATAAAGAACTGAAGATAGGGAGAAAAGGTGGCTCTTCTAAGAAATTTGGCTTTTGTATGAGAGAGGAGAGCTAGGGGTATAGGTTACAAGGTTTTGTATTTTATTTTTAAAAGAATGAAAATAATTATGTTGTGGGGGATGTAGTCATTTTACATTTCAGAACAGGACAGAATGACTTCTGTGTATTAAATTTCTGTCAAAATTGGCCGAATGATGATGTGATGAGAATAAAATAATGCAACGTCTAAAAATGATGTGAGCTCTTCTTATGGGCCAGGCACTCTGTTAAGCACGTTTTAATATATTTTATCCTTTAGTCCTGAAAATTAAGAGGTAGGTTTAATTTTTAGCCCTATTTTACAAATGAGGAAAGTGAGTCTGAGGGAAGTTAAATGACTTGCTCCAGGCCACATGGTTAGAAAGTGGTGGCACCAGAATTCATGAGCACACAATCTAATGTGACCTAGATATAGACATCAACAGAGGAAAAACTGTTTTAATGTCATTACGATTATCTTTTTCTCCAACCATTCCATGAACCAAACACATATTTTTTAAAAATTTGATCAATTTGTCTTCAACCAAAATATAGCTATTGTTTTGAAAAATCCATAACTCTGCATAAAAATTGTCAATGTTTTTATTATAATTTACCTTCTTACTTGTACAGTATGAGTAAGAATAATAACAAACCAAAACCAAAAAGCAGAAACAAAAGCCCTTCATGTGCTATTTTGAGGTACCATGTGTTACCACAACAATGTAGGAAGGTACATGGAATAACTACTAAATAGGAACAAAATCATTTTCTGAGAAGCCCATTTACATTACGTAAAAAATCTGTTTCTCAAGAGGAACAATTTGAACATTCATTAGGCCTGTTATAACTTTCTTAGAGTTGATTTTTTTTCATAACAATTATAAAGAACATCATTATAATTTCCTCCACAGGTTTTGGGTTTTTTAAAACTATAAAAGTCAACTGATGCTTTACTTAATCCTCTTTGTTCACTCTGAGATCCTATTTTTTTGTAGTGTATGGGTATACTTTTATTATAGTCTTAAAATAGTTCACCACATGAACATTAGAAATCAGATTTTGAAAGTCGCATAATTGTCATGTACATTATGAGATGTTCATGACTATTGTAAATACCTGCTGCTAAAAGGAATCTAGAAATACTTTGCAAGGTACGAACAAGGTACGATTAAAGTTTAATCTCAGTCATCTCTGACTTTTCCAATGAGAGGACACAAAAGCTATTCATTCTCTTCATCCACAAACATGGCACAGTTTGTATATGATAGACTCAGGCAAGGGGGAGAGTGATCACAATGTAGACCTGGTATCTTTTAACTATGGAAGAACATAGTGGGGCCCAAAGCTAAGAAGACTCCCTCTTTCTACCCCTCCTAGGCTCTTTAACCTACAGCGTTAGTATTCCACATAATTGGGAGTTATACTGAGTGTGTGAAGGGGACACGAAACCTTAAGAGGGAAGAGAGGGGAGGGACTACAAGACAGCCAGTGAGCGTGGCCAGGATGGTGTGCAATGCTGGGAACCCTGCAGCCCACTAGGAGACACGGATGCTGGAGGGGACCACTTCAGATATACTTAATCATAAGGCAAATGTCACACTATTCATGTATCTTTCCAAAGTGAGTAGTTTAATTTCTACTTTCTGATAAGATTCCATCTGTTAATTTTCCCGATAGTGGGAACTTTGTACATTGATATTTTCTTTGAAATTTTTTAATATACATACAAACCATCTGGGGGATCTTTTTAAAATGCAGATTCTGATTCTGTGGGTTTAAAGTGGGAGTCTGGAGTGGAACTCTGCACTGGTGACAAGCTTCCAGGCGATGCGGATGCTGCTGGACTACACTTAGAATAGCAAAGTTTTAAGCACTAGTAGGGGTGAATCTCATCTTCACCCGAATTGCTGACTGCAAAGTAAATCTCTTCTAAACAAACAATTTCTTCTTAATTCTTTCTATTACATTATATTAACATTTTCATGGCCCTTTAAATGAAGAACTACTTATAATAAGAAGTCACATTTGAAAAAACAAGAATAATTTTCTGATTAAATAGTAATAAGATTAAAAATAAATTTTAGGAAATAGGTACACCACTGGGAACAGAGCTTTGTCCACAGATTTGATCTCAGAAAATGGAACTGCTCAGAAAGATGCCTTGTTGCCTACCCTTTACACTCAGTTGAGGGCTTTATCTCCATCTCAAAGGCAAATGATTCCTTTTAAAACTCCAAACATGTAGCTGCTATGCCTAAAAGGGTGTATTTTATATGACATCTCTTAATTGTTTGTTTAACAGCTCTGATTAGGACTCTTAATAGCTGTTAACATGTTTGCTTAGTATAATTTGTAAGATCTTTATGGTGAAGGCTGGTTTATCTTTCTTCACAGCAGGGCATCAGGTGCCATTATAAGGATCATTGCCACCATTAATTATTTCTATAAGTGTAAATATCCCTATAGTGAACTATTTTAAATAGAGGCCCCCAGATTCTCAGCAGGACCAGCCCTGTGCAGGAGCTCAGTATGTGGTGTGCCCTAAAGCTCCCATTGCACCAGTCTCCTCCGGGGGTCTGACACAGTGCCCTGAATTTTTACTGTAGGTGTAGGCGCACTTAATTGAAGCTTGTCTATGCGAAGTGACTGTACAAATACATGGGAGGTGAGAGACAGTTGTGGGGGCTATTCCTTTCTCATTATTTCTCATGAAACGAGATTAACCAGATTAATAGTAAATTACCTATTCATGGAGATTTACATCTTAAAACTCTCCTTTACATACATTATTTCTTTCAATACTCAGAATAAGCCTGACTTAAGCGGGAGAAAGGATAATATTCTTACTTTAAAAGTGAAAAAAAGCTTAGACTTGAAGTACTATTTCTTAAAGTCAAAATCTAGTAGTTTTTATGCCACATCAAGTTAAGAGGCTGAGCATGCAC